CGGTTAGAGACCTGTATGTCATTTACTGATCTTTTTGGTTTGGTTCATATACTATAGGTCCTAAACTCTTCAAGGAGCCGAGCTCCAAGTCCAACAAGCCAATCATCATCAATGCCATCGCCCACTGCTGCCTGGCCGGAAAGGTTAATGAAGTGCAGAAGAGCGTTGTTCTTGAGGTCAGTGAACACACAGCAGTAATACCTATCTGGGAACTTTGTGTATATCATAGTAAAAAATTTTTAACGTGTTATTCAAACAGTACTATGCAAAAGTCTTGAGCCACCCGTCCTTCCTTTCTATTTTCCTTTCAAGAAGCCAGACTTTCTAACATAAGAGACAACTTAGCTAAGAACCCGTTTTAAATTGCAAGCTCACAATTTTAGATTAGTTTAATGTTAATGTAATGTCAAAGATAACAGAATTTGTTGGGCAAAAAATTTCATTTAATAAGGTGATTCCCAAAGAGCTATCAGCTGGAAAGTTCTATCTCAGCATGGTGTGCAGTGGACAAGTGGAGGAGTAGTAGGCCTTAAAAACTATATACAACACATGAACTGTATCTGAAAATCATCCCAATGTTTAAATCATTGTTAATATATATGGAGGAGGTTAGGAAATACATGCAACAATATGTGAAACACAATAAATCACTGCAGCTATTTTCAGAAAACTACAAAGAAATAAGTGGAAGCTGAAGACTTTTCCATAGTACTTTTAACTTTTTACCACATTCAAAAATTCTGTTTTAAATTCTCAGGAACTAGAAAAGTGCGAGTCCAATCACCTGATCATCCTCTTCCGTGACGGCGGGTGCCAGTTTCGCGCCATTTACTCGTACTCTCCGGACACTGAGGAGATCATCAAGTTTTCAGGCACAGGACCGCGCACCATCAACCGAAAGATGATCGACAAGCTCTACAAGTACAGCTCAGACCGCAAGCAGTTCACTGTCATCCCCGCCAAGACTGTGTCGGTCAGCGTGGACGCTCTGACCATCCACAATCACCTGTGGCAGGTCAAGAGACCAGGGAGTGCACGGAGAAAATGAGAAAGGGGGACATTTGTAAGCATTTCTGGTCCCATCTGCTACTGTTGGGCAGGCCCCAATAAGCGTGGAGACGACTGTCATGTCATTAGAGGGTTCAGATATTCAAAAGTATTGCATTCTGTTGTATTAGCTTTTTATTCTGTATGTCACACTGCAGGGTTTTAATTTGTGGGGATATCCAACATTTAATTAGGCACTTCTTTTTATGTAGCACCCCCACTACTGAATCTACTGGTACCAAGTGCAAGTGTAGACACACAGGGATGAACCTGACAGTGTCTTGTAACATTTACTGTTTCAGCTTGGCAAAGAAGTACCAGACTGCTGTGACTAATCCAGGCTGCGCATACAGAGGACTCTTCTGCTACTCGTATGTGTTTTTATGACGAGGGAGCTTCGAACAGACTTTTTTTTTATGTCCATGTGGAATGGATGTTAGTAAGTGGTAGTTTTCTTTTCTATTTAGTGTGTTTGGAGAAGTGCGTCAGTCTTTGTGTTAGGGGGAGGGGAGAGCAGAATGCAGTTCTTCTGCATTTGGCCCTGAATGTGTTTACTCTTTTGATTATGCTTTAAATCTTCTGACAACTAAGCAAATGTTTTTTGAGGGGGAGGGGGGGTATTTGTGCTGCTGTTACAGTGGAAAACAAAATAATGTTGTTTTTACCTTAAGGGAAATTGTACTGATATTTATCTCAAACCTGAAGCAATTGAAACACTGCATTAAATCAGATCTCAAGGGCATCCTACGGAAATGATCGCACACATATATAAACATATATTCCACCTCCGATGTGAGCCTTGTGAGATCAACGATTAGCTCACATCCCTGAACCAAAATTGACCGGTCTATGCCACTGAGCTGTTTGCCTCTCACATATAATCGCTCGCTGGATGTTGGCGAGATGTTCGTTTTTAATGCAGCTTCTGGCGCTCCACACTAGTAATTTCCTTGCAGTGACTGATGTCAGCAGCTGGTACAGTGTTTGGGAAAACTGCACAATACTTGATATTTGTTTGCTGCGTTTTGTACGTTTTTGAGCAGTATTTTTTGTACGTTGCGTACAAGTTATGTTTACTAAAAAAAAAAAAAAAAGCAGGCACTATTTCGAGGTTTGTTCTGTTACAGGCATACAGAGCTGAGTCTTGTCCGTGTTATATTGAATGTTTATTTATTTTGATTAAATATAATAAATGCAGCTAGGTCCATTTTCTTGCTAAAGTTGCCGTAATGTGTCTTTTTTCTGCTCTCCGTTTCCACTCTGTATTTACTAAATGAGGGGGATGCACAAGTCCTTTTTATGGATTGCTAAGAACTACTAAATGCCACACAGTCAGCACCTGCAGCTGGCAGTTAAAGCTAGAAAATGAAGATCTGTGAAGGATATATGGTCAGGAGAGTGAGCAATAGTTATGGTTGCTGATCAGGAAGTACAATTAAGTCCAGTTAGAAAAACATTGCACAACTGTGACTTGTTTGCTATGGTTACCAGTAAGTACATCCCATGATTCAGTCATTTATAGGAGCACCTGAAATAACCTGCAAAACAAACCCAAACCATCACCCTCACACAGCCATGCTTAACAGTTAGTGTCTGGGTTTTTTTTTGCTGATATGCTGTTTGGTTCTTGCCAAATCTGGTCTCTGTATTATGGTCAACATCTCCCCTTTGGCACAAAAGCAAACGCAGCTTATCAACATTTAGGGTCATGATTTGGGTTTGTTTTGCAGCAGGTGATTTCAGGTGCTTCTATAAGCATGGAATGTATCTGCAAAAAGTCCTGTGAAAAGTTTATTTTTAACACAACTGTATATGCCAGTCTCTTGTACATTCAAACAGACTTTTTTGAGCAATTATTGTTTAAAAATAATCAGCATATTTTTCAGACTTAATAATTACCTTAATGAAATCAGGACTACTAATAGATGTAGCTAAGTAAAACATTGTGCCACACTGCTACTCGGCAGTGGGCTATTTATGATTATTTGGTTTTAATCAAATTTGCATTTTAATTACAATATTACGATGATTTTGTTGCCATAGAGCCACAGGGAGCCAGTGGAAATATGCAACTAATCCATAACTCCGATGGTTCCCTGCGACTTTAACAAAAAAACTATCCCAGTACAAATATGGAAATGTTTTAAATGATTATAATTGCTGTAAATGATCTTTTATATTGTCGTTTATTTAAAAAAAATACACTTAATGATGTACATAGAATAAGCAAATATCAAATTAAAAACAAAAGTCCTGATAAATTAAAGTCACTAAAGAAAATGGAGAATTTTACTGTACATCAACAGACAAGTTTGCGCTCACCATCTAACACTGATGGCTCACCGTGTGCCTTGTTTTCCCAAAAAGTGATTATTTTTCACCTATAATCTGTCAGACCTATCTCTCATTAATGTTATCAAGTCATTTTGTATTAGAAAGAACAAGTAAAAATGTGAAATCCCTTTTTAGCGAGAAAATTCCATTAAAAATGCTTCAAAAATCACCAGCAGCATAATTACAGATTCCAGTTTAGTGACGCCAATCAGTGGAAGTGAAGCAAAGTATACACCAACTAGCTCCTGTCAATTAAGGTAACCATGGCAATAGCACCAGTGTTAGGTGCATGAGTTTACATATATGTATGTTTTTTTGCATCAGACATACTTTTTAATACTCTAAAGAACGGTCTTTTAAACAGGGTACTTTATGGGGATTTACTCACTCGTGCAGTCAGCCTCAGCGGCCACCAAAGAAAGTTGACGACTTTCAGCTGCAGTTTCCTCCTGCTCGTCAGGGCAAACACATTTCTCATAAAATCAGGTCGGGTCTCAAAAGCCAGTTAGAAGGAATCTGAAGTTTCTAATCTTTCAAACAGAGATCAGAGGGAGTGTCTCACTGATCAAACCCACTTCATGCATACATTCAAGGCAATTTATAAAACAACATTTGTCTATCACAACCAAATCATAACTTCCTGTGATGGCAACAACAAAAATCCGATTTCACCTTGAACGTATACCAATAACTTGTTTTATTAAATAATAGGACTTTAATAATCTATAAATAATGTATTAAATGTCCCATATTTTCATGCAGGTACATAAGTGATTTGTGTCTGTGCATTTAGAGGTGCAAGTTTGTTCTTCGGTTTATTCATTAACTTGCTCTGGGTTGTTGAGAGAAGAAGAAGAAAGAATAAACAGAGGCTTGTATAAACACAATAAACAATCCATAAATGATATTTTCACAATTCAAATAATTAAAAAGTCTAAATTAGATTTAACATGTTACTTAGCTCAGTCTATTGCGGCCTCTGGACAGGTTAGTTGCTCCCCCCATTTATGGTGCTTATCTTAAAGTAAGCTAACATTTTTATGAAATTATCTTAAAACAATTTAAGCAGTAGCATTCTTCTCAAAATTCTTGCAAAGTCTCTAAAGCATCAGACTATTCCTTTAATGTCATTGCTTACTAATAGACAGGTTGCTATAGTAAAAAAAACAATATAGGCAACTTGAAATCATTTCAGTATGTTGTGTTCATAATACAGCACTTTAATGTGCGAATAAAATAAGACTCAAGTATAAATAAGTTCAACACTCAAATAAGTACGAAGTCAAAGAGTCAGAAAGACTCTTACATTAGGCCAAAGCAACCACAATTGTATATTATGAAGCAAAAGTGTTTCACTTAGCGGTGCTGAAAGAAAAATGGCGCTCTCTAATTACTAATATAGTGTTAATCAACTAAATACTTTATGGCACAATATTGAATACATGGCACAGCCTGTTTAAAGGGTTGAACTAAGCTCTTGTAGTAGTAAATACTTCATCCAGTCTAAGAAATGCACTGCAGCAAACATATAAGTAACCACCATTATTTGTACGTAATACTAATCTACACCACTAAAAATCTACTTCTATTCTTCAGCTGCAAAAATTAAGCTTTGAGAGTTTAAAGCATATATTTTTATTTGACTCATGTAGTGTTGCAAGTTACGCTTGAGTTTATGTGAGTGGTGGTAAACAGAAAATGTGTATCCAGGGAAATTCAAAATATGATCACCTGATATTCTAAAAAAAAAAAAGCCAGGAAAGAGGATTAAATCCTGAACTTCAATGTCACAATTTTTCTAATAAAGATACTTCAAACCAAACAAGAGTTCTGTAGCTTTCAATAACAAAGACATATTTCTGTGCTCATACTTGAATGGCTAAATGAATCGGATTCATTCTAACCAGGGCCGGCTCTTTAGCTCTGATGAAACTGACTGACATTCCTTCAGTTAGCTCACTTCACTTCATAACAAGCACGTCCCTGACTGCTCATTTAAAAAGAGCTCTCACAAATATCAGCACACTATTTCTACAGAGTTTGTGGCAAGAGATGAAAATGTCACTGATGACATCAGCTGTCACCTGACAAACATTAGGCACTCGTATAATACAGTGGCAGACTGCAGGTGCTGAAACTTTGTAGCACAAATTGTCCTCTTTCAGGCTGGACCCGCATGGATGCAACGAGACCCCCACAGAAGCTGAAGCTGGGTTAATGAGTGTAGCAATAAAGGTTGGCAGGGTATCAGAGCTGGGTGTCCTCTCTGGTGTCCATGCTGGACTCATGTCTCTCTTTCAGGCTGCTGCTGTGGACAGGAGGCTCTTCGGGGACGTGAGCCAGAGGGTCCGAACGAATCAAGTAGCTGGTTGGGAGAAAGAGAGCAGAAAGCAATGAAATGCTGATGTATCTCGCTCATTATTAAAACTGCTCCATACTCACTCAGCTCACTGAAGAATGAAAGGACCAGGACATCTTAAAGACCTCAATGTATCATATCAACCCATTAGAGCGCTTTGCTCTAATGCTCTAGGGGCTACTGGTGGTTCCTAAGATACTTAAAAGTAAAATGGGAGGCAGATCCTTCAGCTTTCAGGCCCCTACTCTGTGGAACCAGCTTCCAGTTTGGATTCAGGAGACAGACACGCTCTCTAATTTTAAGATTATGATTAAAACTTTCCGTTTTGATAATGCATACAGTTAGGGCTGAATCAGGTGACCCTGAAACCTCCCTTAGTTACGCTGCAACAGATCTAGAGTGCCGGGTGCTTCCCATGAGTGTTTCTTCACCACCTTTTTTCACTGTCTAAGTGTTTATACACCACTCAGTATCTAATAATTAGATATTATTCATCTCTCGCTCTCTTCCACAGCATGTCTTTTGTCATGCCCCCTACACCTTAGCCTTAATTTGTCATGCCCTTCCCCGAGCCTGCTTCTGCCAGAGGTTTTTTCCTGTTAAAAGGGAATTTTTCCTTCCCACTGTCACCAAGTGCTTGCTCATAGGGGGTTGTCTGATTGTTGGAGTTTTTTCTCTATTATTGTAGCATCTTTAATTTACAATTTAAAGGCAATTGAAGCAACTTACTGACATCACCTTTAATTACCCCTCTTTTATTTATATTCATAAGAGGTGTGCTTCTTGCCACCAGACAAAATTAAGTCCAGTGCTCTTTTCGATTTCTGCTCACTATAAAAACTACTGTAAATTACTGTACTGTACTGTACTGTATTAAACTACTGTAAGCTGTAAATCTCTTTACAGCTTAGTTGCCTAATAAACTGACAAAAATGTAAAGTTGTAGCATGTAAAACCCAAAACAATTAGTAACAAGTAGTAATCTTTCATTCATTAATAACATAAAAATTTTGGCAATTCACTTTATTTTAATTATAGTGCACACTAATATCTAACTGGCATTTTTTTCCCCCTCACTGTTGAATAATTTGATGTCATCAGACATGTAAATACATCGAAATACAACGATGTGGAGGAAGGGAAATACACAGCGCAGCAACATAAAGTAGTAAAACTTACACGACATCATTGAGCTCCAGCCTAGTGTCAGGAGATGGGTTAATAAGGACATAGGAGAGAGTATTTTGGTGATCGTTCTGTTCATCTGAAACACAAACATCACCACAGTCAAGCACAAAAGGCGATGCCATGATCAAACTGTATTTGCAGGATCACGAGTTGAATACCTTGTAGGTAACCCAGATTAACTCTGTTCATGACGTCACTGGCTGTCAGATTTGTCAGGTCATCTACAGGTACACAAACAGCAGTTAGATTAAAAACAATTAAGTACCGAGCTGTCGGTTTTCTCGTGTCTATCATTACCATATCCAGATGTGGGGAGGCCAAGGTGCCTCATGCGGTTGCGGACCAGTTCTGACAGCTCTTCCCTCTCAGAGCGCCTGTAGAGGTTGAGGCGCTGCTGGGCAATGCGCTGGGCATTTTCTTTGCTCGAATCCCGGCTTGCCCCCTGCCACCGCACACTTTTCTTACTCAGACGCCGAGCCCACTGCATGCTCTTCTTCCTCAGCAGGGGGTGATCGGATGGGTCGTTGTTGCGAGACTCGTCCCCCTTATCCTTTGTGTCCTCGCAGTCATCAACGCTGACTGACACCTGCGACTAAGGTGGCGAGACAATAAGTTACATTTACACATCTGTAAAGAAGGGACGCTGACCATTATTCATTGAGGTAAATCATTTTCTTCTGTTTTTAGTTTTTGCTCAAGCGCCAAAATGAGATCTCAATGGAAATACATCACTGCATACATTCATTTGTTTTTTGTGTATTTAATAAATAAGTTCTTGGACTGGAGATTGATAGCCTGACATCTTGCTTAGATCTCACCTCAGAAGTACAGAAAATGTGTGACTCAGTTCGATAGATCCCAATAGGAATTTCAGCACTAGAGGAGCAGAGCTTCTGGAACAGTCTCCCGTAAGTGCCAATCCACAGATCCTCCTCTTTTACTTTCATCTAGAACAGCACATGATAGCATATACTATTAGGGCATATGGGCTGCACTGTGCTTCTTTCTTTTCATTAATTCTGTTCTTCTGTCACACTCACAGCACACAGGTATCCTGATCCTGGGGTGGTATCCAGCCCCAGCAGCAGTCTTGCAATAAGGATCATGTAGTCCTTCACAAAAGACTAACAAAGAATAGCAGAAAATTACTTGTATCCCTTCATACATACACATACACATATCCATGACAGCTATGAATGCAATAGAAAAAGGGAAACCTTTTAATCAGTCACTGAACACAAGAGGGCACTTGTGCTTTATGATGGTAACACTGCTCACCATCTTCAGGTGATGCTGTTTTTCTGTTGCTATGAGCCATCATTCAGACATAACTCATTTCTTTCACCTAGTGTTAAAAAAGAGTCACCTCAGACTACGCGTTTTGCTGCAAGTGTGTACCAACCTGGTAGAGGAGGGTGTCCAGCATGCTGATACTGAAGACTCTGCCCGCAGCGAAGGGTAGGCGAAACATGAAGGCCAAGTTGGAGCCTTTGTCACGCTCCTTCTGTGGGGGAGAGACAGGACACACATAAAGCAAAGCATCTGTAAAGGCCTACAGGGCAACTAACCGTAAGCTCCCTCATGCTGTTTTTACCTTTTCCAACTTAGAGAGAGAGTATGAGTAGCAGTCCTTCGCTCTGAACTGCATGAATCTCATGTTGGATGGGTGAGTAAGCTCTGTGATTATACTGAGACTGGGAAACAACCTTGAGTGGGAGAAAGTGATAGAAAAAAAGAGGAATTAGAAGCTCAGGCATCATTTGATAACAAACTGACTGCAGTTCATGAATAATATATGAACGACTGGAAAAAAGGCTCACTTTACCTGAACATTGTCTGCACGTTGACAATAGTTTTGGCATCAGCCATGTAATCTTCCTCGGCGCTCATGGTGCTCTCTTTATCCACAACGACCAGGTTATCGGCGTAGATGATCCCGCACTGGAGCAGGCTGTCCAGACTGAAATATACACACACAATAAAAAAGCAGAATATATAAAAAAGTGAATGTAATAAATATCAAAACTGAAAATGAAAGCAGAAAATTATGTGACAGTCTCACTTGTCTATGGATCCAGCCATGTAGTAGACCATTGGGAAACAGCAGATGGCCTCCAAGAAGTGATTATCAGGCCTGAGGGAAGTATATATGGTGCATTTAGCTTCCATGAACCTTATTACATGAATATATAACAGATTTAAGAAATAAGTGTATCATTCAAGCATAGAAAAGTTGTAGCCCAAGCTTCCTTTCTCTGAAAACATGTTGGCTTCCTCTAGTACTTTTTAAATATTTTGCTGTATGTAGCCACACTTCTGATATTATGTAAATATACTGTTACTAATGACTACTTGACTAATGATAATGATGTTTATCTTTCTGTCTTATGTAAAGAGTGTTGAACTGCTGCATTGTTAAAAAGAGTTACACAAACAATGAATAGTATTTGTTGTAGACATGCCATTTCTTGTCATTTTGTTTAATGTGCAGCGATGAATTATAACAACATGAGATGGGCCAAATTTGAAATATTGATCATTTGATCATTCAAATCTCAGCTGGCAAAATGAAATTGCCCTGACCTCTCCTCAAAAAAACAAGACAAACATAAAATAAAGTCTATTAAAGTAGAAAGCATTAAGATTTTTGACTATAGTAGCTGCTATGCTCCTATAATATGTGCAACAGTGAGCACAGGTTCCCCAAAGCCCTTAAATGGTAGCTTTAATTCCCTGTTAGTGTCTCCAGGCTGAGGGATGAGTCCACTCAGAGAGATTTAGTTGCTGACAGAACGTCACTGCATATGCATCTGCCCAGTCCTGCTGACTAGAGACCCAAGGCTGTCGTAAGTGCGTGGGTGTTTGTATTTGTATGCGTGCGACACCAATAGGAAGAGAGAAAGAGAGAGCGCTGCATGAACGGAGAGTTATTGTTATCTGTCTGTTTCCATGAGAGTCCTGAGAGCTGGCATGTGGGGGCTGAAAGGGACACATCAGGGCTGTGGATGAAAGCCTGCGTAGTGCTCTCCAAAGAAATCATTTTCTCCATCTTTTCCTCCCCTTGTAGCAATCTAAATCATTCAGGTTCAAGGCAAAGCAAGTTACCATGGTGACCGTCTGGAGGTACAGAGAGCAGCGTTTTTATTTTCTTTGTCACTCAAAACACACCGTCACTGCAAGCGGTACAGCACTAACCTAACATCAGGGCTGACAATGGAGTCCCGCCTCCACAGCCGTGTCCTAAGTGCTCGGCTGACGCAGGCTTTTAACATACATAATGTTTCCCGGTGTGAAACGGTGAAGGATGGAGTGAAGGGAGAAGAAAGGGACAGTGTGCGTGTGGCAGGCGTGTGTGCGCGCTGCGAGGGCGAACTCACGGGTTATCCAACAGCAAGACAATAGGGTTGAGTTCTTTCCTGGGTCTGTAATAGGCTCTGAGAGGCACTATGAAGTTATAGAGACCGTTCCCTGCTGTTTCGGCTGAAACGATTATGAGCTTGTTTTTAAACCCGTACGCTTTGGCATCCTCGAAGCTGTTGTGCCTGCACCCCTGCAAAGACAGAAAAAAACTCAGAAACATGGAGGTATTTCAGGATTGCTTTTATGAAGTGAAGGACAGAGAGAGGAGAGAGGGAGTGATTGAGGCAGTAAGTAATTTGAGTGACTAAGTTGAAGGAACATCGACTGCCCACCTGGTCCAGACGTAGGCAGCAAAACGGGGCTTTTTCAGCCAACAGATGGCAAAGGGTGGGCGAGCTCCCAATGTACGGAGAGTTAGGGGGATAACCTTTCACATACCTAGCAACGAATCCAAAAAGCATGAACGACACATTTCATAAACCATACAGGACTTTCTTTTCCTTTATTTTTTTAATAAAAACACCCAAACTGGCCTCTGTTACTTGGAGAGAGAAAAAGGGAATATGAAGGAGTATCTTTATTATATGTACAGCACATTAGCAGTGGCCACTACAGAAATCTAACAGGTAAGAAACAATGTTTGTTTGAGGGTTGTTTTTTTTTTGCATAATATATAGGCGGGATACTACAAAACAGTGAAGAAAATAGTTGTATTAAACATTAAGTTTGTCTTAATTTGCACATGGATGTATGCCTGGTATTCAGAATGCTGCCATATATTAAATGTGTATTTTATGTCACCATGGCTGAAGTTCATGTTGTTCTTGTTCAAGCTGAACAAGAACAACATGAACCCATGCCAGCATGCTAAAGTTCATGTTGTGAACTTAGACAAGAATGCAAATTTAAAGTGACTGCAAAAATATAAGATTACAAAAAATGTTCTATCTGAGAAAAATTTAAGCCTAATAACTAACGAGTAATCATACTCGCTAATAATACTCCCTGCTGTTTTTTCTTTTAATCAATTTCTTTAGGTGTGGTTTCTGCTCGGTCTCCTTGTAAATAGGTTTAGGAATAGACTGTATATAATAGATGGAAGTCGCTACCATCTAAAACTGTGTCATATTTTACAAAACAAACGTCAGTGGCAGTGACTAAGACCATAATCATTACGAAGTTGTTAACTGAAGTTATAAATAAAATGAGCAATGGGCTCGTAGACTTCAATACCTTTTAATTGTGAAGCCAGATATTTTGAACCTTGCTGTCCAGTAAAAACAACGTAGATTCAAAAAAGATACATAAACACTATGAACACAGAGGCTATGTCCATCTTTTAGATACAGTTAATGGCTTTAACGTGCATTTTCACAGCAAGAGAGTCCTGGTTTTGAATCCAGTTACCATCTGCCACCTTTTTGTGTGTTTTTTTATGTTCTCCCTGTCAGCTGGTAATTCTCAAAGATTTATAGTTGTCAATGTGAGAGTGAATGGCTGGCTCTCTGAGAACAACATGAACTTCAGCCATGGTGACATAAAATACACATTTAATACCTGCCAGCATTCTGAATAGAAGGCCTACATCCATGTCCAAATTAAGACAATTTTAATGTTTAATACAACTATGTTTGTCTGGCAGGGTGTAACCTGCCTTTCCCTCTATGAGAGCTGGTTTAGACTCCAGTCTTCCCACTACCCCGAACTGGACAAGAAGTTTAGAAAATGGACTGGTGGTATTAAACTGTGTGTGTTTACACGTGCACAGAAAACAAGAATCCTTACTCTGTAGATGAGTGGCCTTTTTCATCTGTGAAGACTGAGTCATCTTCTGATTGGTCACTTAGCAGGTCACATGGCAAGATTGAGGCAGAGTCTGCTAATTCCTGAACCGGAGCAATGCTCGGCCTACGACTTCCAGTTCCATTTACTGTAGGTGGGACCAGTTTACCTACTGGGGCGTCAGGAGGCGTTGTATTCTGAAGATCCATGGCAACCGTACCTGTAAATACATCCATTCTGGTTCATATGAATCTCAGTCCTAAGTTTGATCGAACGTGATCAGTTTGATTTCTTTCTCACCCATGCTGGCAATGATGCTGTGGACAGGAAGCTGTGAAGGCCCATCAAAGAGTCCCCCAGCAGGACCACCCTTCTTCTCCTCCTGGTTGAAGATGAAGGCTGAGTTTTCCTCCTTGGTGATGTTGATGTAGTAGCATGTGTCTGTAGAAGCCATGATGTGGCGCGGCCCAGGGTTTAACAGGATGCTCTTGTTGTCTTCCCTCTTTATACCAATCAGACAAACACCATACCTGGGGATCACATACCTGCCGTTAGACTAAAGCGCCTGAACGACCTGCTTGATGGAAGACTGAAGACAAAAGAAAAAGAGCAGTTCTACTTGTAAGTTTAAAGACTAGATTTTCAGATTGGATGAGCACAGAAACTTCAAATTAAAACTGAAAATTCAGTAGTAAGTCTTTTAATTGCTTAAAAGCTATTAAGAGCTTTAATAAGATTTGCAATCTTAAGGCATATTTGTTGGTGTTTCTGCTCATTCTTTCTTTCATTATATTTTACAGCATGAAAAAAAGAAAAACTTTAATTTGCATCTTAATGAGAGCTCCAAGATTAATAATTAACCTCCATGCATATTAAATGTACTTGTTGTCTTAAATGTACTTGTTATTCCTATATCAAATAAATTTTCATATTATAGCACTTTGCTAAAATAATTATTAATTATACAAAACAGGTGTTAAGAAATACTGAGCTTTCCTTGATAACCTGATACAATTCCACAAAAGATCATCTGACTGATATTGTTTTGCAGCTAGTTCTAGTGCTAATATGATATGCTGTTCTCTCTTAGATCCCGATGAATAGTCGATTTTAGTTTGAACACAACACTAATACCACTCCCTGATGGCAGTGGACTCTTCCAGCAGGACAAAGCGGCTACTACACTGTACATGAAAGACATGGCAACACAAGAAAACCCCCAAAGTGGAGCTTCTTGCGTCCTGTCAGTATGATTCTTATGTCATGTCCAAACACCATAGGCACAGCCACATGCTCCTTATCCAGCGGTTGAAGGAGGTTGGAACGATCCAGAACGGCATCTACAGTTAACGAGTTGTTACATCTGAGTGGTAGTTACACAAAATACTGTCAAGCAACATCTGTTTTTACGAGCTGCATTGTGGTTCTCCTTTTAACTGATGCCACGGAGACAGTTAAGTCAACAGATGACCCCGCCTGCACGTATCCTTTTTTTCATTTCATCCCTGCAATGAGCTCATGGTTCAGATGAGAAGTTGTGTTTGTGGTACTTGGTAAGTGGAGCAAGCGTAAGCAGAGTCATTTTTTAAAAGTAGCACATAATTTCAAATTGAATGTTTCAGTCCATTTTACTAAAAAAGATAGTAAGAGCAGGTTAATTTAATCTTGAATAGTTTTTAAACTTTAAACTCTGCCCTATGCAGAACAGTTGTTTGATGGGTCTTAAAGGTGCTGATAGGTGGATTTAGATACCTTTGGACAGAGACAAGCTAACGCTTCTACTTATTTCCGGTTTTCAAGCCATGATTAGCTAACTGATTGATGCTAGTAGCTTTATTTGTAAAGGACATATATAAGTATGATATCAGCTTCCTTTTATAATTCTAGGCAAGACAGTATTTGGCACAGCTTTTTCTTCAAACAAGAGCAGAAGTGTTATCTAAACATGCATGAAATTAAAACCAGTGTTTTTGCAGTCTGCGGCACACAGAATATGACTTTCAGCAGAAAAGCACTGCTGAAGCACTTAATGCTGTGTAACACTAAGCTAAACAGACAAGCAAACATTTTAATCTCTGAGGGAGATGCATTTGCTTACAAAGCTACTCACTTCTTGTGAGCATGAAAGGAGGCATATGTGAAGCTTTTGCCATTGTACTCTCCAAAGAACTTGCTGTCACACACTTTGATATGGTAGACCTCGTTGCCGGAGCAACATCCATACATCCTCTGCCACTGCTCCGGGGATTGCTGTCCTTCTCTGGAATCATTCAGAGGAAATACAGACAGATGGGTAAATTTAACACGTAAACCTATTAAGTCTATTCAGCATAAGTAATAATCATCAGTTGTGAAAGAAAAACTCTCTTCTTTGCTGCAGACCTCTAGACCCTTGGGGTCCCAAAAGTCTCCTGGCGAAAGCAGGCAGCTTAATTTATCTGTGTCAGTCAGGCAGTTTTGTGCTAATATGCCCTTTGTAATGACTTCCGGTTATTACTGTAATTGTTCAAGTGCTTTGATGGAGTTTAATGGGCTGTGAGAGATGCTCGGAACAACCCCAAGGTGGTGGTTTACAGACTTGCTTCTTAGTAGTTATTAATATTGCATAAGAAGACATGTAAATTGGATTTCTCACTCTAACTTTCATATTTCTGAGTAAAAGGCAAAATAACATGCTCGTGACAATTGGTAACTCCTGATCCCCTTTTATTTCCCACTGCATGATGAGCTGCATGTCACTAAAACCTAGCGTTTCACACAAAACGCCCACACAAGCGAAGGAAACATGCAGAATGAAATATGGTACGTTCAGGTACATATTGTTACACCTGTGTGGAAAATGTCTGCAATTTTAAAAATTCACAATAGAAAATACACAAAGCTTTTTTTTTTCTGAAGGGTTGACAGGAACACAGCAAGCACTAACTAAAGCCTATTTATTCTTCTTTAATGCTGTTTCCCTCGAGCACTGAAATCAGCTTTTAAGCGAGATCTGTTTGCATGCTGTGAAAAAATCATTTTCCTCTGGAGTGCTTTTCATACGGCGTTACAAAGGAAACACATGCTAAAAAAAATCAATCTCGGTGGCGCCTGTTCTCTCTTTTGGTGCACTCTCTCCTACATCCTGCTGAGCTTCACAATGAGCTGGGACTTTTGTCTTTGGCTTGGCTTTCTCACCTCTCTGTGGCAGCTCCATGGGCCCTATTTATGCATCAGCAGACATGAAAATGTGAAGAAATTTGAACTTTGCAGTCTCACTAAGGAGTAATCAAACAGCCTGAGGAGGTTTTGTAGAAAAACTGACCGTCCACGGGAAGTGTGTACAAGGAGTGTGACCAAAGTGGAGGTGGCAGGGCAAACACAGTTGAGAGCCAGCATGGCGTACTTGAACTCTTCCTCGCAAACAACATGATCTGAAAATGAAGAAAATAGTTGATCAGCAGAGCTGGCTGAGAACTACTCACAGTACTCTACAACTTGCACTAATGTTATAATGGGGTGATTATATTATGTGTCACTGTACAAAGTTGTATCAGCCCCATCATCACTGCAAAGGCAAGTATATGGTAAGGCTTAGCCAAGTTCATGTGTGCATTTACTTGTGTGCACAATCAGAGCTGTCTTACAGATTTGTATTTGTTAACAAATACACTTAACTCCCCAAATTCTTGCTAAATCACAATCTCATTAATTTTTACAGTACATGCTGGTGTTATGGGGAGTTACACATTTATGCTGAGCTAAGCTAATCAACTCTTGGCTTTAGCCTGACATTTAAACCTGAAATAGCTAACTGTATGGGCAGTTGTTAGGTGTAAAAGAACAAACTGGAAGGTTTATAAATGTCTGATTACCACAGACTGAACAAAAGCTACTGGTAAATAGACTCACTGGCCATTTCATTATGTACACCTAGCTAGTACTCGGTTGGACCTCTTTTTTCTGAAGTACTCAGAACACCCATCTGGCACCGGCAACCATGTCATGTTCAAAGTCACTTAAACCAGCTTTCTTCTCCATTCTGATGCTCACTTTGAACTTTAGCACGTCGCTTTAACCAGGTCTACATGCCTATATCCACATATAACCATATATAAGTTGCTGCCATGTGATTGATTAGCTGCTTGTGCTAACGAGATGTTGAACAGGTATACCAAATGAAGTGACCAATGAGTGTATATGAAGGGAAAGAAGTGGGCTGTAAAATAATTCCCCATTTGCTTTTTTTATGGGCAAAAAAATAATTTCTGTTGTTTTGTCTGAGCACACCACCACAGTGCACTTTAAATCACACAATCAAGCTTTGATTAAAAGTTCAGACTTTAATTCAAGGGGTGAATAAAAGGGTTTAATAAAAGTGTTGCACTAGCTGTTTAGGAATTACAGCCATTTTTATATATAGTTCCTATTTAGCCAGATGTCCAAAGGTTATTGGACTGATAAACAGCTTCATGGTCAGGTGAGGCCTCTCCCGTCATTATTCCATATCAAATAAAGCGGATAAAACCTCTCAGCTTCAGTCAACCTCAACTGTTTACATTTAAATCCACCATGATGATGTACAGAGGCAAAATTACAAAACAACTGTGTCATTGTCCAAAAACTTACTGACTTGACTGAACATGTATTTGCGTGATTGCTTCATTATTTAATTTAGAAACTCTCACCTGCAAATTTAACATGGAACTTATTTTCAGGTTTGAGTATCTGGACATATAGGGGACAATTTGGAGCAAAGTCTTTCACTGCCCAAGCTCTCAGGATGGTCTGATGGTCCTGAGGGGGGAAACAACAAAAATTATGCAGCTGTCTCTGTGACAGACAGCATTCATTTCTGAAAACTCATAAATCAGAATTACAGCATAGTTCATAATTTGTCATTTGTTATTTTTTGTCTCACCGCAGCCATGCGATCCACCTCGTTACGGCTGCTCAATATAAAACAAGCCTCTGCATCATCCATTCTGCAGAATTGTGAAAAAATTGACAAATTATTAAATGTCATGTTACACAAAAAAACAAAACAGCAGCAGAGAAAATACAATCCACAAAAGACAAAGCTGAAATGATAACAGTGAGGCGTGACAACAACAATCTTTGATTGAATTTTCAGATTAGCATTGCTCGCTTGCAGGCAGACAAAACAAGCTGAAATAATATATACTGTATACTGAAGGTGCTGAGAATATGGAACTGATTTTGCATATGATTAACAGAGCCAGGAGAGTGCAGAATGCAAAACAAAGTGTGGGAGGATTTGAAACAGTGCCAGATGCAGAATATAAGCTCTACACGCCCAGTCCTCGACTTCTAATTGCTCTGTCAGAAACCTGCCAAAATGTATACAGTGAATTTACACAATCCATTACATCAATGTAATTTTGATTTGAATAAAGTTAGGACATACTGTATGGTACAGCTGTACAGTCAGCACAGAACTGAGAAGTGCCAGGGTGTGTTTATGTTTACAGTTATTAATTATTATTAATTATTAATAAAATGTTTTCAAAGATGGCAGTTATGGTGGGGGATCCCCTGAATTTGCTCTCTTCCAAAGAAATGAACAGTCTCTAATTCTTATGGTTTTTTACTTTTAATGGAGGAAAACACATTACATAAAAGTTACAGATTGATATGCATAATTTTAACTGAAATAAATAATTGAACCTATTCAACCTGTCTATAAAATCAGTTTTATCCATTCCCACTTCTCCACCACCACGCAAAACCAAATAGCTGCCGAAGAAGATCAAGCATAAGACTGCAGAACTGCACAAGGCTTGAATGGACTACAAGACGACAACAAGGTTGGTGAGAAGGTAACAACTGTTGATGTGATTTAGAAATGGAAAAAAATATATAAAATAACTTCTCTTCCTCCCCTCACAATAACAGGAGACCTGTTTTCCTTCCCTCATCCCCAACTGGTCACGGCAGATGGCTGCCCCTCCCAGAGCCTGGTTCTGCTGGAGGTTTCTTCCTGTTAAAAGGGAGTTTTTCCTTCCAACTGTCAGCAAAGCGCTTGCTCATAGGGGATTATATGATTGTTAGGGTTTTCTCTGTTTTCTTGGTACTATTGCGGAGTCTTTACCTTATAATATAAAGCACCTTGAGGCAACTGTTGTTTAATTTGGCGCTATATAAATAAAACTGAACTGAATTGAAGTCACCACTGGTAACACACTATGCTGTAATAAACTGAAATCTTGCAGTGCCTGCAAGGTCCCCCTGCCCAAGAAGGCACACGTACAGACCTGTCTTAAGTTTGCCAGTGAACATCTAAACGATCCAGAGAGAGCGCTGTGGTCACATGAAACCAAAATCAAGCTCTTCAGCATCAACTCGGACTTTGAAGAAAGATTAATACTAAGTATGACCCAAAGTCATCCTCACAGTCAAGCACAGAGTTGGAAAAATACTTTGGGGCTGTTTTTCCATGACCATGACCCAAAACATACTGCCAAGGTAACAGAGGCTTTGCTAAAGAAGAAGCACATTAAGTTCATATAGTGGCCTAGCCAGTCTCCAGACTTCAACCCTATAGAAAATCTGTGGAGGCAGCTGAAGCTTTGAGTTGCCAAGCAGCAGCCAACAAACATAAAGGAGAGAGTTTCTGGAAGGAGGAGCGGAACAAAATCCCTCCTGTCTGCAACAGAAACATCTTCTTGCTGTCGCTGTTGCAGACAAGGGTACCAAGTACTAAGTTATGTTTTGCTTGAGGATTAAATACTTATTCATGTTCTCAATCATATGCAAATCAGTTTCTAACTTCTATGTAATGTATTTTTTCTGGATTTTGTTTGATATTCTCTCTATTAAAATTCAAATGAAACTACCATAAAAATCAAAGACTTTTTTTGAGGTAAGCAAACTTACAAATTAAGCAAAGCACCAGATAATTATTCCTCCCACTTTATATCTGGGCTGTTCCTGGTGTGGTTCTGTCTATTGAACACCTTCGTCTTTGTCACCTTTGTCACAACTTCACTGAAAGAATCCCTGTGAAGTTTTTCAAACAGCCGTACAGAAATCAAGACTGTATACAATTACCACAAATATGCAAACTAACTGTAATGCGCTGTACAAAATTCCTGGATTTATCGCTTAAGCTTGGCTGCAGCTCTGCATACTGGATATTTGTCAAATTGGACTTGTATAAGAGGTACGACATAAATAAAATTCAACTGAGTCATAGATGTCATTATGGCTACAAAAATAAACCTGACTTGACATACAGATTGACAACAAGTTTTTATGCCTTTCATCATTGTTACAATGTTCCATAGTCTCCCTCATGAATCTTTCACAACTCCAAAGTATCAGAAGAATGTGAGACAGATTATGTTGCCTTTCTTCAGAAGAGCAGTCCCTCTATCGGTTCACTTTCAAAAGGAATGAGTATAGCTTGAATGAATAATTACAGTGTTGTCTGAGTATGAGGCCAAACAATAGCTCTGACAAGCCTATTTACAAAGAAAAGAAGAAGAGAATATCAGGGTAATATTAAGGATTGGTAGGACAATAGTCTTTTAAGTCCTACTGACAGTTTGCCAGAACTATCAGTACCTTTCCCAGAATGTGAAATATAAACTTTTGGGAGCCACTGTAGATGATTTAATTGGAAATAAATGAGGTGCAGATGTCAGATGATGAAAGGAATCCATAAAACTGTCTTTATGAATATGACACCGGTATATTATTATATTTTTAACATAACCAATCAACAGGAAACCAAGAAAGACAAACAAACTGAAAAAACAGCACACAGAGCTATTTGACTGAGAAAAAAGGGGGAAAAGACAATTTCAAAAAAGGTCAGTCTTGAAACCATTTCATTTTTCAACTTTCTCTTTCAATATCTATGTTATTCTTTGTAATGGGAAGTTTGACATTTATCTTAACATCTTAACTACGCATTTGATCCAGGCTGTATTTCCATTTGTTCATTTTCATTCTAGTAGCATTCTTTTGAAGTCAAGCACAAATACTTTGGGGCCCAATTGAATTTATTTAGAAATAAAATTCTCACATCACTCTGACCTCTTCTCAAAATGTCTTCTCTCTTGCCAAACACAGTGAAGCAAACACAATAAAACAGTATTTTATTATGACTATGTTTACACTTACACTTAACCACTTATAGTGGGTTTCTAAAGACTGCATTAACCAATAATATGGGCTTCAACAGCTCAACTCCCATCCTCTCCCCTCCCAATATTCATTCTGTGCTTTAATACTATTCTGCGAACTCAGTAAAGTTTACACAATGATTGAAAAATTTTATATAATAAAGCAATTTTTAGTTTCCCACAAAATGAGCACTAACATGGCACATTTCAGTAAATGATGGACAGTGTTCCAAACTTTTACCACGTCCCTAATCAATGTTATGCAGAAGCTCGTCAAATTTTGCAATTTTCCTTCATTTCCTTGATGTTTGTTGGCATTTGTGTCAGAAGCAGCTGTGTAGCAGGCAGAAGATGGGCGCAAAATGCAGGACTTGGAAGACAATAGATAAACTTAAAAGCGGCTAAAATGCTAAACTTACACCAAGTACAAAATAATGCAAGTTAAAAACAAGGAAACCAAAACTTCTAGTATTCAAGGGAAATATGAAACTAGGAGAAATACAACAAAGGACAAAAAGGAGACTGAGGCTTTATATACAAACAGAGGATAACATGGAAACAGGCAACAGGTGGGAAAACAGCTGAAACTAATTACAGATAATGAAAGAGGGGAGGCAGAATTGAATACAAAACACAAGAGACAAGAGTTTCACAAAATAAAAGACCAGGACTAAGGAGACAATAAACTAACAGTGTGGGTAAACAAGAGGGACATGAAACCATAACACCAAAAGAAAGGGTACCAGGCGTAAGGAAATAATAAACAAGATTGTAGATTTGTCTTGAGATCTTGGTCCTGTTGCATGACCCAGTTTGAGCCCAAGTTTTAGCTGTTGGACAGATGGCCTCACATTTGGTCTCATCTGTGCAAAGGGCATTGTTTCAGAAGTCGTGTGGTTCAGATGCAACTTGGCAAAACCCGCTGTGCTATGCTGTGCTGTCATGTCGCTTTCTCCCTTCCAAACAAGCCAGACTTGTTCAGTCTTTTTCTCATTGTACTGTCATAAACCTTTACATTTAACATACTAGCTGAAGCCTGTAAAGTCTGAGATGTAGCTCTGGGGTCCGGTTTCTCTGAGAATTGCACAGTGTGACTCCTGAGACTGTTGCATTGTTTTAATTGTGTTAAGATTAGCAAACTGCCAAAATTTTGTAGAGGTGTTCTAACTTGCTGATGATCAGTTAATCAAGTACATTTGATTAGCAGGGCTAAGTGTTACTTACCCTCTTAATTCCTATTGGAAGGGTGTGATTAGTTTCTAACAGGACTGCAAACAGTCCTGTGAAGAGTCTCTTTTTTTTTACAGGATTATATATTGGAAAAAGTCACAGTTAAAGTATAATCTAGTTATAGCAACTGTAACTTACTTGGCTCTAAGCAGATCCTGATCTTTGAGGACAGACCCTTGCAGATAGATGACTCTTTGAGACCACAGAGGAATCTGCAGCACCCTTCGCACCTGGAGGTCCATTTCAGTTGGGCACAGGATCACCACATAGTAATCCTTGAAGATTATGTAAGAACCACATCAGTATCTCAAAAGAGGAATTTCTATGTAAATGGAGACACACCATGTCAGTCATTATCACTTGTAAGTAAACCTCGAGCACGTGTATGTAACGGTCGTTACCTGCAGTCGTGGATGAGCGTAGAATTCATTGAGAAAGTCCATGAGCAGGTCTATTTTGAGTGCGCTGACACACAGCACAACATGTTTCTCTGTCTGTGCTCTGTGGCGGCTGTAATTCCCCCCAGACTTCTGTCTCTCCATCCACAGGTAAATCAGTTCTTCAAACTGACAAGCAGCAAGCGATGCAAAGGTCACATGAGGAAATGTAAACGGATCCAAAGATTATGTCAGTATCTTTGTACCTGAAGAGGCAGCACCACCAGGGCCACGCAGATCATGATGACTACCAGTAACTGGGAAGGCCATATGCGGGGAGTCACATCTCCGAAGCCCACAGTGGAGAAGGTGACAATGCAGAAGTAGAACGAAGTGAAGAGGGAGAGGTTTTTGCCTGCTCGTTCCAGGTGCTGAATCCCACACGTGCTGTATACAAACAAATACAAAGTCAGCATATACAGCTACAGCATGTAGGTTGGTTATGAACCTGAACATAGAGGCCACAAGGAATAGATAAATAAATATGCTGTATTAACAACTAATACGTTTGTTTAAATATTAATAAAAAATAAACATTAAGCTTTTGTTTGTCATTTTGACTTCACAACTGATATTTTAATTCATTTTGAGCATTTCTCAGCTAGCAAAAATGGTTCGGATCACTCTTCACCATTACAATTATACTTTAACCAGTAGTATAGAGTAGAAGAAATCAAAGCACAAAGCTGGTGGGTGCTTTTCAAAGTTTTCACTGTAAATTCTCATCTTTTAAAGCTGTTGCATCAACCTCCACTGTATAATCTGAGAATGTTTAAGTTCCTGTACGGCTATATCACTGAAATGTGATCTTGTACGCTTGTTTTGTACGGTGTCACATTTACCAGGTCACAAAAAGCAAGAGTATACAGTAAGCTGAAATAACACCAAAACACGGTGGATGCCAGGAGATGTGACGTCAGTTTTCTCACTGTGGTGGCATCAGCCACACATGGATAAATCAGTCCATTAGTTTACTTTATTAGTTTGGTTTGCAGTTTTCTTCATTAATATAATTCATTAATCATTTAGTTTAAACCCAACACTGATATTATGAGGCGCGTGCATTAAAGCATTGTGTGGTTTTTCTAAAAATCTTTTTTGTTATATTAATTATGTTTCTCTTTCTTTGAGTTACCTGAGAACAAAATGCCTGCTCAGAAGGACCAACCATGTGCTTATCAGGAACAGGGGTGTTTTACCCTCATGCGTCTTTGTAATTAGGTCAGTTTATGAGTTAAGTTGTGTCCGCTTTGTTTGTTTAGGTTTCTGGAAATTAATTTTGTAGAGTTATATTTAGTTGACCTCTTTTATGGGCCCGCTAATTATGTTTTTGAATTTTGTGCTTTGAACCTTTTCGAGGGTTAAAATAAAGAAACATTTTTTCCTGTGTCCTCTATGCCTTGGCTGCTTGGTCCCTCACACTTACGCACAGCTATTTGTGAGGTCGAACAGTAAGCAGAGACTAGGCGTTAGTACCTGTAAACTGCATGAGTCCTAATTACAGCGGCAACTTCTTCATTTCTGTAAAGAAGTCAGACTGTAACTAAGAGAATGACTGTGTTGACCCTTGATTTTTGACCTCAGTAAAAACTTCTTAATATGTTTATGATCTCAATCGCTAGTTTTGAATCTTCTGTATAACATGATGTTCATTTTTAAATGTATGGCCCCATTTAGAGTTAAATAAAGCAGGGTATATTTTGGAGTCTGCCTGCCTTGTGATTGGCAGGTCGCTACCATACGAGTGCACAGAGTCGCTCGATTTCTCAGTCACAGCCAACCATTGCTTATCACCTCTGGTTTCCAAAAACCAAGACGCTGATGGTGAAAATGCTCAGCTCCAGGCTTCAAAACAACAGTTTATTAACAGCTCACATAATCATGGTTACATCTGTGTTTTACGTACTGTCTATGACTTTAACTACCCTGCAGTGAACTAAACACTGTCAAAGTTATGCTCCCATAATATTTGGAATTATCTGGATCACCATTTTTAGTATCGCTTAGTAATTATTAAAAATATAAATAAAAACCTGCACAGTTCTTTCACATTTTAGCAAACACAGACAGAAGCAAAATATGTCACCACTCTGAACAGAATGGCTCACCCAGTGAAGACGAGGCAGAGCAGGGTGCAGATCAGAATGAGGACCTGGTTAAACATGGCTGAGTTGGTCCTCTGGATCGCTCGATGGACATCGTTCTACCATAAACAACATACAGCAGTTATAGTTAAAAACCTATTCATTTTCTTCTGCTTATCAAATTCAGAGTTATAGGGGGAGGCTGAAGCCTATCACAGCTATCACAGGACGAGGGTACACTGTTGTAGGGTTAATACACAGAGACAGATAATAGGTCACATCTAGAGTCAATTTAGGATCTCTAATTAATCCAACCCCATGCACGTTTTTTGGATTGTGGGAGGAAGCTGGAATACCTGGAGCAAACCCAAGCAGACACAGTGAAGGCATGCAATAGGACCAGTCTGGATTTGAACTAAGCTCCTGCCTGTTGTGAGGTGACAGTGAGTACTACCACTGGACCACTGTGTCTCCCAAGGATACAAATGCTTAAAATCAGTGACACTGCGTCTACCCCTGTTCCATTTAATTGTGAATTAGTTTAGCGGTTGCAGATGCTTCTACTCTTGTATGCTCCCCACTGCAGTCTGCAGAGCAACATGATAAAATGCACACAGCACTGAAAATAATCCCTAATGAGCTCCCTCCTGTGTGCAGCACAAACAGAGCAGAACCAAAGAAGGATTTTTTGTTGTTACAGTGTGGATGTCGGGGAGTACGAAGGCCTCTATAAATCAGTGCAGTTAAAATGTCTGAAGTAAATCAATAAGCTGTTGAAAACTGGTCATTAATAGACAAAATTCAGTTAACTGCTTTGACTTACGATCATATTCTCCAAAGCACATTTGGCCAACCAGCAGTTGAGAAACACAGGAATGAAAATGTTCCTTATCGAGGGCCAGAAAATCTGAGGAGAGGTAGAAAACACTTCATTTCACAGTTTTCTCAAACAATAAAAAACTCACAGCAGTGGGGCATATGTCTGCAGCTTAAACGTGCTACCTGTGAAAATTAAAACTTTTAAGTATTATTGTGTAACGTTTTTATACCCAGAATCATTAAAGAGGAATACTCTGCACTGTCTTAATCAGCTATAACGTTTGTAGTTCTATCTTCTCTGTCCATGTAGCTCAATCTGCACAAAATGTCAGTGCTACCTCTCTAGTACTTGTTGTAGTTGAGCATTTTCATATAAGAGCTAATCAAAGCAAGCATGCAGCATTAATTACAGCAAGGGCAATGATTTGAATGTTTACAGACTTAAAATTGTCATGACCCTCTTGTGACAGGTAGATGCACACTTGCCCTGCACATTGATGTAGTTTGGCACAAACAAACTAGTCCTTAATGAAACTTGTTTTATCTTTTAGAGCAGCAAGGCCAAGACTTCTTTAAAGAGACAATTCTGCTGAGCTTGAAATAATTATTTTTTTCTGGCCATCTGGCCACCACAAATCAAGCTGCCATCCATTAGAAAGTACACCCTCTTTAGATTCTATCTATCTTAATATAATAAAAAACCATTATCTTAAGAACAGATAAATACATTTGGAGTAGTGTGCATTAACACAATACAGAGGACGAAAGAACTCAGAAACCATCTTTGAGAAGCAACTGCTGCTGCCCACCAATCTGGGAGGGAGTGTTACGTCCATCATTTATACAATGCATGCAATCCTTAATACAATGAGAATGATTCTTCAAAAGTAGAAAACATTCAAGATAGTGACCAATCTTCCCAGAAGTGGACATAGCATAACACCTTATACCAACTATCAAATCGTCACAGTAGAGGGGTGACGATTTGTTTATTTTGCAGCAACAGGTGCTGGGGACCTTGCAGTCTTAGAATCAACCACAAACTCCTCTGTATAGCAATAATTCCAGAGACCACATGTTTAACAGGACAATGAGTAAAGCATCAAATCTATAACAAAGAAGCTGAAAAATAAAAGAAATAGGCTGTTCCGTTGTTCCAGTCAAACCAAAACCTGAGCCTGGTTCTGCCGGAGGTTTCTTCCTGTTAAAAGGGAGTTTTTCCTTTCCACTTTTGCCAAAGTGCTTGCTCATAGGGGTCATATGATTGTTGGCTTTTTCTCTGTATGTATTATTGTAGGATCTACCTTACAATATAAAGTGCCTTGAGGCGACTGTTGTGTGATTTGGCGTTGTATAAATACATGGAATTGAACTGAATTGAATTAAAAGAGCTGTGCATAAATAAACTGCAAAACTCAGCGAACTGAAGCAATGTTGCAGAAGAGAGTGGGCTAAAATTCCTCCACATCAATGTGAGAGAGTGATAAAATCCTACAGAAAATGGTTGCTAACTATTAAAGTTATTGCTGCTAAAAGTGATTCCACAAGCTTCTGAATCATAGGATGTGCTTAATTTTTCATAGAGTGCTTCTGCATAATAAGGCACATTTCAGGGTTGTCATGGTAAAACTTTTACCGTAATGATGAAGGGAACTGTGTTGATCATCTCTAGAAGAAAGGACACCTGGAATATCTGCTCCCAAATGTTCCCCTAAAAGTAAAAACAGGCACAGACTTTTAACACTTTCATCTGTAAGCACACAAAAGACAGTGAGTCACTGCAGAGATTCATTGTTGTCTGTCACCCTGCAAAACCACTTATTCCTTCACCTCAGCCATATCCTGCAATTACTGTCTGTCTTTAATGTAGCCTTGACAAATGACTTGGTCTAATTGCACCACTTATGGATTGTCAATCTAGCACATTGTAAGTGATTAATTGTACAGAATGCATTAATCATGTTTGAAGCCAGAGTGCTTTTTTTTTTTAGCACACTCCGTCTTACCTTGTAACTCAGATACATTAGTAACATAGTCTCCAGGAAACTAATGATGGCCACAATCACCTGTGCAAAAACAGGAAATAAGACATACTTAATTATTTACAACAGCGTTGTCACAAATAATCTTCTAAGAATGATGCTCACCATGTTTTCACATGATGATCAGACATTTATGGTTTGCATTAGACAGGCAAATATTTGGTCAACAGCACAATTAAAAGCAGAGATGGGATCACGCCAGTTGCAACACCTGTCAATGTGTTGATGTTCCGACCCACGACCCATGTAGTCACTGCTACACTGTTACCTGATCGTGTGAGTACACATGGGTCGGAGAACCCCCCGTCTTTAAAAATCAGCCATCATTTTCAACTACACACCTGTAAAGTATCTTGAATCTTGCACGGTTGTGACGCTATGCTGTTGAAATCTGTCCACAGACAGACAGACAGACAGACAGAGAGACAGATATACAGAGAGACAGACAGACAGATAAAGACCTGCCCGAGTACTCAAAATGGCTTTGTGGTAGTTCCACTTACAGAAGATGTTTCCAGGACAATTTGTCACAATGACACACACATGCACGCACACAGACACTCACAAGGTACAAACTGTACCAGCTGTGCCAATGAGGCCGGCAAACACACACACAAGTTTATGCAACTCAGTGAAAGTCATTGAACGTTTTGCTTTATGTGCTCTTTCTTCTCTTGTGACTCACTTGAATGGCCCAGACAGGAAGCTTCCTATCCACCCAGAAGATCAACTCCCTGACAGAGAGAGCACACAACAGTGACAATTGTAAATGGTAAATGGTAAATGGCCTGTATTTGTATAGCGCCTTTACTAGTCCCGCCTAGGGACCCCAAAGCGCTTTACACACCCAGTCATCCACCCATTCACACACACATTCACACACTGGTGGAGGCAAGCTCAGTTGTAGCCACAGCTGCCCTGGGGCAGACTGACAGAAGCGAGGCTGCCATATCGCGCCATCGGCCCTTCTGGCCAACACCAGTAGGCGGTAGGTGAAGTGTCTTGCCCAAGGACACAACAACCGAGACTGTCAGAGCCGGGGCTCGAACCGGCAACCTTCCGGTTACAAGGCGAACTCCCAACTCTTGAGCCACGATGTACTACATTTAACAACAAATTCCCTCCAAATCAAAGAAAAATGGTACATGATTGGTGTCTATACCATCAGTGACAACGTGAGATAAACAGAAGACAAAGCTGGCAGGGATCTCTTTACATAAATGTTGATAAAAAGGGAACATCCGATAATGAAAACACCGATGGCCTGCCAGAATAACTAATAAGGTGAATGGAAGAAATGAGGTATCAGACCAAACAAAGAGCTGAAAGAAATCACACCTTTTGCTGCTTACCAGTTAATTTCTCTGTCCTGCACTGAACCATTCCACTGACAGTCGACACTGTGGAGTAGTGATGATAGTAAGGGAGGAAGGCAGCAAAATAGCAGGAAATGAAACACGAACATGGGAGGATTTCTGCAACTGAACTAGATCATAGATACGTCAGTTTATTAAAGCAAAGTATGAGTTCCTCAAATCTTCATACTGAATTAAAATAAAAGGCTAGATCTTTTCACAGTTTTTAAAAATTTTAAAAACTTAAATATGAAACATAATTTATTTATTAATGATCATTTGATTTGTGTAAGAATTAAAGCACACAAAAAGCCAATTAATCAAGTTAACCACCCAAAGGAACTGGCCAGCTCCTGACATGCTCATAGATAACTGTATGGAAAAGAGAAAAGGCTTCCTGTTCTGTCCTATAAGCAAATCTTTGCTTTATCTATTGGTTTTATAAGACATATCTTCAGTCATCAAAGTGGACCCTTTGTTATATTTCTCATATAACAAAATGTTTATCCATTCCACCACCTATCGTCCACTTATTCAATTTAAGGTGTGGGGCGGCCAAAGCTTATTTCAACTGTCGCAGGGTTCATGCAAAGAGACACAGACGCTTTTATACTCAAACCTACAGCCAATTTAGAATCACTGGAATTAGTATTAAACTGAAATGCCTGACGTTTGGACTGTGGGAGTAAGCCAAACTAATTCTGGGAGAAACCACGCAAGCACAAAGGGAACATGCAAAATCCACACAGAAAGGCCCCACACTGCTGGTGGAGTCAAGCCCAGGAGCTTCTTGTTCTGAGGTGACTATCTGTGGAATCGAACTCTGATTAGCAGTTACCCATGGTCACAACAGCAGGTAGATAAAGCACAGCAAAAAGTTGATGGGGCAGACACTGGAATGAGACATTACCTCTACAGATCACCACTGACTGGCCTAAAGTTATCTAGAGTCACTGAGAGGCGACTCTAGATGAACAGATGCAAACTGGGAGGTCTGCACTTGTTTGCATGTAGTAGCTCTAGAATTGGCAGTTTTACACATAATATTTATTCAATTCATAATAATTTGGTTTTTAAAAAATGAGAAAGGGACCACTTTCATGAGTAAATCATAGTATGTGATATTTAGGTCTTATGATGCGTACAATAGATACAGTATCCTATATATAGTATCGCACATGAGCATGCTGTGTCATCTAAAGGACACCAAAGGAGCCTGCTGTTGCTGTGATTATGCAGACTCCAGAGCTTCTAAATAGGTATTATGATCCCGACCTGTGGAACAGTCCTCCTACATATAATATGCAGAGCAACCTTAACCAGTAACCTTACATTCAGTACTTGCCATTTTATTTGCAGTTTAGCTTATTTCTCGCCTTTTTTGTTGCTTTCCTTTAAAGAATTAATCAACTGCAATGAATGAATCACGAATCTTAACATTATAATTGTTTTTTTCATTTTTTGAGAGTGTTGTGATAACATTGCGTTAGAAAGTGCTTGATAAAAATCCTCGACTTGACCTGAAAACCTTTGTCTTTATTTTAAACAAACCATTTGTTGTTGCCACTGGGAGCGTTTTGCTGTGCAGCGCTGTGGCTGGCGCCTGCGCTCTGAGCGGGGTTGTCTGTCATCACTCTGATGATGTACAGCAGACAGGTGAGCAGCTTCAGGGAAAAGTTGAACACACGAATCCTGAGGCCTGAAGGCAAAAGAAAATAAGATTTGTATAAATAAATCTTATTTGCAAATCAGATTTATTGTGACAGTGTGTACATAGGCTTTCCTGTGTTTAAGTTTAAACTGCATTTAACACAGTGTCATTTCTTCAGAGTAAATCTCTGACAGGTAAGGAAAAAACATCTGGGATTCTCCACAGGTGTTCCCATACAATGGTGGAAATAATCATTTGATCCCGGGCTGAATTTGTAAGTTTGTCCCTAATTTTTAAAATATTTTTATAATTTTTATAGTTTAATGGAGAGAGACAAAATGTCAACCAAAAATCCAGAAAAAACAAATTACATGAATTATATCATTGATTTGCATGTCAGCAAGTCTAACTTAATACTTGGGGGAGAAACTTTTGTTGGAAAGCACAGCGGCAATATGTTTCTTGTAGCTGGTCACCAGGTTTCACACATCTCAGGGGGGATTTTAGCCCACTCCTCTTTACAGAAACTCTCTAAATCCTTTAGGTTTCGTGGTTGCTGCTTGGCAACTCTAAGGTTCAGCTCCATCCACAGATTTTCTCCAGGACTGATATTTGGAGACTTGCTAAGCCACTCCATGACCTTAATTTGCTTCTTCTCACTCCTTTGTTGGCTCTGTGGTTTGTTTTAAGTCACTGTCATGCTGGAAGACCCATTAATGACCCATCTTCAGTGTTCTGGCTGAGAGAAGAGATTTTATGGTACACTGCCCAGTCCATTGCCCCATTAATCCGATGAAGGTGTCTATCATCGGATTGCCCCAAACGGCCCCAAATCACAATGTTTCCACCTCTGTGCTTGACTGTGGGGATTGTGTTCTTTGGATCATATTATTATTAAATATTTCATTCAAAATAAGACACACAACTACAACGTGGGAACCCAGGGAAACCGAGTTGACAATAAAAACCCTGAAAACCACGAATTCCACACCAGAGCCTCAACTCTCGCGGCCCGTCACCAAACCCAGGGGTTGGGACCGCTGATATAGATGTTCACTGGCAAACTTAAGATGGGCCTGTACATGTGCCCAATTGAGCAGGGGGACATTGCAGGTGCAGCAACATATCAATCTATATCAATTCCTTACAGTGTAGTAGTGTGTTACCAGCGGAGTTCTTGGTGACTGTGGCCCCAACTGCCTTAAGATCATTAACAAGCTCCACCCATGTGGTTTTGGGTGACCCACCACCTTTCTCGTGATCATCCTATGAGGCAAGATCTTGCATGTAGCTCCAGACTGAAGGCGACTGATGGTCATTTTATATTTCTTCCATTTCTGAATAATCACACCAACAGCTGTAGCCCATTCCAGCCTTGTGCAGGTCTACAATCTCATCCCTGATGTCCTTTGGCAGATCTTTGGTCTTGCCCATGGTGGCGGAGCGGTTGGAATGGATGAAACAGATTCTGTGGGCAGGTGTGCTTTATACACATAATGAGTTGAGATCAGGACCATCTCTAATTGCTTGGCTGATTTTTTGATTGATTGCAATTGACACACACGGCCAATCTGCAGGAATCAGAATAATTCTGGCTGGGTTGTAGTACTTATTTCACTCAGTGACATACAAATCAATTCACAATTCTTCATATGATGAGTCTTTTCTGGATTTTTAAGTGATATTAAAATTAATATATAACTACCATGAAAATTTAAAACTGTTCTTTAGAAGTGAGCAGATGTACATATTCAATCATTATTTCCCCTTCTTTATACATCTGGGTCTTATTATGCACAGCTTTCTGGGTTTGCTTTTGTTGCGTTGCCCTTTAATGTGCCCTTTCAATTAAGCAGCACTCAGCGTAAGAACATGAGATGGTGGCCGGCACCATCCACTTACTTGATCTTTGGTTTTTGATGAAGAAAAGCTTCAGGCGCTCCTTGAAAGTGTTTTCGTTCACATAAAACTCTACCTGCACCCTAACAGGTAAGAGAGGGAGAGAGACAGTCACACAAGAATCAGCAGCATTAACAGAGATACGAAGATGTTTTTCAAAACGACGACCTTAATACAGCATGAATATTCATAATGCTGTTTTTGTAATTATCTGCCTGAGGAGAGTTATGTAATTATCTGTGTCTCATTTAGTTTCCAATTACATGACAGGACTCCTGTAGGCCACGCAGTTTCAACTGAAGAAACCAAAGAGCAGCTGCTAGTGTGGAGCATCATTTTAGCCAGGAGTGAAGTTAAAAGAGACAAAGGTAAATATTTTTGCATATTTTTTGTATGCAAGATAACAACATTCATATTTTAAAAGGAGAAGAGAAGAGAAGAGAAGAGAAGAGAAGAGAAGAGAAGAGAAGAGAAGAGAAGAGAAGAGAAGAGCCTAGTTTTTTTTTTCTATTCCTCTGATATCATCATTAAAAAGGTCATATAGTAGATGGGAACAGTTTATGCAGATATCACTGTGTCAGTGACATCTATCAGTGGCATTGCTAGATTTTCATATCAGACCAAAGCATGTTTTATGATGAGAAATCCAACATCCAGAAATGGAATGAAAAGACGCGCTTGTGCATAAATGAATATTAGATTTGTTTTTGCACCATCCCACAGAAGGATTACACATGTTGTGCGAGACATTGTGCACACCCGTTTGTATTTGCTATTAAGAATGATATAATGAAGATGAAAATGTATATTCATCAGTGACTCCTTTACAAATTAACTGTGGTTATTGAGAAAATATCTTGAGTGTGAGGAGATTCATTTTTATTCTGGTATGCCTTAGTAACGTTTTCAGTTTCTCTCATCCTAATCCTGTTGCTGCTCATATTTATGCTAAATTAGAAATCACTGCATCTCCCCACACAGCTGCGTTTGTGCACCCTCAAAGCTGTCAAAGACTGATCCTCCTGCATCCCTGTGACAGCATCAGCCCATCCATCAGGTTTTTATGTGGAGGTCCAATCTAGTTTGAGTGCCTGTGACATTTTTTTTCAAACTGTTGTGACTCCCAAAGAAAAACAACACGGGCACAATGAGAACATAAAAACTCCCAAAAAGAAGACACTTCAAATGTAAGACCCTGTTGCCAACAACTGACTGCCTGTGCTGTTGCTACTGTATCACTTGGCTTATTACTCGTGCCAGCTGGTGAGATGCTTGAGTCAATATAGTACTGTGCAAAAGTTTTGAGTCTCCTATTTTCTTATATTTCTCTTTGAAGGAGGGAGACTTACAACTTCTTTAAGGTTGTCTTGAAGAAAGGTTCACCAGACTTTCTGAAGGTCTTTCAAAGTTTTTCTTGCTGTTTTTTCACTAATACTAATTTTAAGTCCAGTCCTTACACCTGACCTTTTTCACAGGATTGTTTTTATTATTATTATTATTATTATTATTATTATTATTATTATTGTTGTTGTTGTTGTTGTTAAGCCACTTACTGTAACACTGACCTATGAATCATTCAAGCATTAAAAAGGAATCAAACTCTCTACTCTAGGAATCAAACACTTGGTATATATCTGAGGAAACAAGGTTTGAAGAAACTGGACAGTCAAGTCCAGGATAGCTGAGGATAAAATCAGAAGTGGCAGGTCTAATGAAGTACCTATAACAGATGAACAGTATTTTAAAGTCATGTCATTAAGAAATATGAAGGGTAAATCCAGCAAAGACCTGACAAAAGACCTGAGAGTTGCATCTAGCCCTTCCAATTATCCATCTTCCAATTATCCAATGAAACCTTATCAGAAATGGTCTCAGTACAAGGACGGCTGTCAAGAAGACATTCTTAAGGAAGCTGTTTGGCAATAGCTTCATTTTTCAGTAAAATCATACCACACATTGAAAACTAAAACGCACCAGGATCTGCTGAGAATTGGCCTCATCGGATCCTGGCCTCAACATTATTGAAGCAGTGTGGGATCATATTGACAGAGAAGGGAACAAAAGGTGGCCAATATCCATAAAAGAGCTTTGAATGTCCTCCAAGAAGCCTGGAGAACTATCTCTGAAGACTACATAAAGAAATGACAAGAAGGCTTGGCTAAGCGAGTTGAGGCTGTGCTGAAGTTAAAGATGGTCAAACCAAATATTGACTTCTGTTAGAATTCTACCATCTCTGTTTTATCTCATTTACCTTATTTCCATCTATGTTTGCACAACTCAATAAATCACTGCATCTGTTTCTCATTTTCCAAGTAAAGTATTGGGAAATGAAGAGTGACTCAAGACTTTTGCACAGTGCTGTATACCTCATCAAATTATGCTAAATCCAAACTAGCTGGGATTAGGAGAGATTCCTTGGGGAAAAGAATCTCTCTTGTAAGTAGCCTGTGGTCCCCTGGGGGCTGGATCTTAGCTGAGCTGACACGGGCTGAAAGATGGGAAGAACTGAGGACAGCACAAACTATTACAGGGCTAACACAGAAAGAAAGGCAACCACCACACACTCTCACGTCCACATATCCATCCAATTTAAAATCACAAATTAACTTAACAAGCATGTTTTTTGAACTGAAAGAGAAAACCAGAACACCAGGGGAAACCCACACAGGTAAAGAAAACACATAGAAAGAACCAGTGAACCAGGAGGTTCAAAAACAAGCTTCTTGCTGTGTGGCAACATTTCTAACCACCAAATCCCCTCATTTTTACTTTCATTTTTTTTAAACAACCTATTTCACAATATCACAATAATCATTTCATCTGAAACTTTTTGAGGATAAACTACAACACCAGCAAACTCAAACTTTTCTGTTATAAGAAAAGACCAAAGGTTAAAATAAGAAATCATAAACATTTTGTAAGACAGAGCAAAACACAAAAAGAGAGAAAGTGCAAAAACTCCTTTGATAGCTATGAATGAAAGAGAATTTCAGTGCTGTCTTCACAGTACTGTTTTCTGATGGATGGGCATGGGAAGGTATGAAAAGGAAGGCATGAGAGAGATTAGCAGGATTTCAGAAAGGGTAAAAAACTGCAATGCTTCACTGATGCTCCATTAATCTCAAGTTTTGGCTTGTGGCTGAAAGGATCACAGTGGAAGGGAAAAGGCGGTGTGGGTTGTTGGATGCGGCACTAAAATGGCTGTTACAGTTCTGCACGACACTAAAACTAAATCACAGTGATGGAAACCCTTCAGTGAAAAAAAACGGAGAGAACCGCTCCGCGATGAGAACTAAAAACATCTGTAACATGTGGCCAGCAGCAGGACAGAGATGGGCTCTGGAGGCAGAAACACTTCAAATGAGAGGCTGTGCTGTCGTATATGAGAGTCCTACAGATTGATCTCTGTCTGTCTGTGTCTGTCTGTCTATCGCGTCCTTATACCCTCCCACGCATACATAGGCCTAATGGGTACAAGTAATGGCCCTTAATCAGCTCCTGTTGAGCACACAATTACGAACTGAAGAGGTCTGATATTAGTCATACTGCAGTGTCACGTCGGAGTTTCAGGCAACAAGACGCACACTTCTGTGACCAATTAGATCTTTTTAAACGCGTGCTTGTGGCTCAGCGAGTGTGAGTGCGTGTGTGTGATCATTGCCTCGCTTTAATTAAATCAATGTAGCTCGAGGGGTTCATCAATAACAGCATAGACCTGTTGCTTCCAATCCAAAAGGCCCATTCATCAATTGACAGAAAATATGTGGATTAATATATATATATATATATATTAATCCACATATTTTCTGTATATTTTCTATATAAGTCCTCAAGCAAAAAGTCCCAAAAATCTCACAAACTTTCAGTTAATTTGTTTTTTCTTCTCATTTATGTGACACTAAGCTGACTTTTAAATTACCGCTAAAACAAATCAATAATTGGTACGACTGAAACTAAATGTACAAAGATTCAGTTCATGTGCGTCTCAGCACTCAACATTTGCGCGTTTTCGTGACTGAAGACCTTTCCGTTTTCGACTACTTTAAATAGTCACCTTGCAAATTCGCGAGTGGGGGCTTTCACACTTGAACAAAACAAGTACAGGAGTAACTGAGAACATAATAATCCAACATAGCGACCTTAAGATACCGTTTTACTTTCTATAATATCAGAAGTGTCGATGCGTAAAGAAGAAATGACTTTCTGATCCTGGCCCCTATAAATAAATAAATAGGAAGTTTTTTTTGTTTGTTTATTTTTCCATCGCTTATCAAACTCCTGGTAATCTTCTAATAACTCATAATACGTAATAACTACAACTCTTCCCGCCTGAAAATAATAATTCACAGCAAAGAGAAGGAAAAAAAGCCTTGGACAGCATTATTCCCCCGCCTCTTTACCGGCGCATCCACTTCCATTAACATTTGGACATCGTGCGCACTTCGGAGGGTAAACTGGTCTCCGCTCCGCGTGGCCCTACCTCTGCCCGGCGTCACCACTACCAAACGCGTCCGACCTCCAGGTTGGGATGAGGATCTCCGGATCCATCGTGCAGGACACCTGTAGCTGTGTCGTGCAACCAGTTTGAATTCCTACAGATGACCAACGTGCCTCACTGCAGCTCTAAAATACCAGCGCAGCACTGCCGGAGGATGAACTGATTTTAGCTTTAACTTATGAAACGACACGATAAAGATAAGAAGATAAAAATAAGAAATCATAGACGAAGCGTTTTTTTATATATATATTTTATTTTCAGATGCTTGTTGGAGTATTTTTAGAAATATATTCCCGCAGCCGCTCTCTCGTTTTTATTTTTTATTTTTTTCCCTTCTTTGCGCGGGCCTGTTGCCACAGCAACGTTGCTTTGACAGGAATAACCCTAACTGCTGCTGCTGCTGCAGCATGGTCCTCTCTAGCAGCACAAAGCTGTAAACATTCACTGTGCCATATCAGAGAGATTGTCAGATGAACTCGGATTTGTTTTAATTTGCTGTTGGCATCAGCAGCATGTCAGCAGGCTACCCTCAGCCTGTTGGAAGGAAGTTTTCATGTCTCGGAGCTCGTACAGTCACAATGAATGTGCCGCCTTACCGTCTGTTCTTCTGTCTGACCATGCTAAACACAAGTTGGTGATGACGCTCGCTTTGCTCTGCAGGATGTGGTGGATTGAGACAAAAACAGAAAGATGATGCACTTTTACAAAAAAAAAAAATGAACAGGCAGTGCAGATGAAAGGAAAATCAAGAGGACTGCTCTGGCTGTCACCCTCCCTTCAGTCTCCCACCTCTTTGTCTCCTCTAAATTTGCGATGTCTGAAGTACTAATTTATAGATGACCTTGCCCCCAGCAGTCAGTGCTTTTGAAAATAGGAGGAAAGGCCATCGCTCTTGAACCCCCTTTCGCCCACACCAGTACAGCCACTCAGTGTGGCTTCTGAGTTGCACGTGAACACCCTTACATCATAGCCTCTGCCTGTAAGACACATCATGGTGTTCAGGATCACAAAGTTTAGATAAAAATCAGGTAGGAGATAGTCAAGGCAGGGCAGTCAAACATAAGGCTCGGGGACCAGAATTGATCTGGCAAAGACTCCAATCCAGCTCAGTGGAAGGCTTTGGAAAATCCAAAGGGGGGCATAGATTACGAACGTTTAACAGGATTTTCATGTTTTACAGCTTTTTCTATTAATAAAAAACTTTATCATAGCCATTTATACTACTTCAAAAGTTACATAATAGATAAACAATTAATATCTACTTTAGATATTTTCTACTACAGACAAAACAAGCTTTAATATAACACAAGACAGTCTGGGCAATGGACCTTTTCTGTTGTTTTACACATTGATCATGTAGCAAACTGAGACATATTTTTCAAATTGGACTCAGTTGTGGTAAATTATGTTGCCACTACTGAGTGTTGATTCCTTCAGAAAGGAACCTTTGAGCGACGGATGATTCCCCGGACAGATGTGACCGGTGACATTTGGGGTTTCAAGAGACAGCTCTTGACTTGACCACTGGAACGCTAACCTGAAGCATCAGTCCCCTATAAACAACACTATCTCCTAAGGACAGAAGATACGCTCATTTGCAGGGACAGAACAGAAAAAAACAGCTCCTATTTAAATGGGAAACCATTTAAATAGGAGCTGGAAAGGTTTGGAGCTTTCTCGAAGAGAAAACGAGGATAGCTGTGAGGACAGCTGGAGAAAAGGTCATCTTTGACTAAAAGCATTGGCAGAGCTTGTTGTTATTCCTCATCAAACAAAACAGATATGACAAATATTACAAACAGCTCTACAGTCTGAAATGCTTGCTGCTGCTGCTGTTATCACTTCTAAATTTACATCTGATCATACCTCTCCAGCGGTCCATCTGGAGAACACGCGATTATGCACTGAATAAACATCCCGAGGACGTTTTAGCTTTTTAGCTGACTTACCCAAATTATGAACGTCAATTCACTTCAAAACTTTATGCTGTAACAGAAAAAAGAGTGCCTAATTCTTATTTTTTGAGTTTGTGCTTAAACTAATGAAGAAGAAGGTCTCTAAATTCCCTAAAGTAGAATGTTTTTTAATCTCAGGATGGAAACCAGTGAAGCAGATCTCAGAAAAACAGAAGCATCACGCACAGATGCTGCAGCTGAGTAGAGCGCTGAAGGGAGAAGATGAGGAAAAACAGAAAGACCGACGGAGAGATCTCATTTTCAATTCTGACAGTGAATTAGGTCGCAATGTTGTCGCAGAAAAGAAAAATGTGTTTCAAGTCAAACTTCTTCAATCTTCAAATACGTACACAGACACCTACTCCGCAGCTTCTCATGCACCTCCCTCTTATTCAGCACCACGGACAGCGCCCCAAATCCTGCTACGTTTCTGGCCTCTTTTAAACACAAACACCACTTAGACCGGAAAAAGAGAACACTTCAAACTGCGCTCTTATGTGCTAAAGTCTGGAGGGGGCAAACACTGGTAAACACTCCATGAACAAAGCCTTTTCAGCAACTACAAAGAGGTGAATCAAGTGGGATTAAAATCCAAATAACAGTATTTGTCAGGAATAATAAAAAAAAAAGAAGAGGTCTGGCAATCAGCACGCTTGATAAGTGAAAGCAACATGAGCAGACGACCAACAGAGCTGTGATGAGATTTAATTCAATTCAATTTACTGTTTTTTTTTCACCCTGTATATGTCTAGGGGCTGTTGCAAATAAAACACTAATAACTTACATAAAATTCAAACAGTTGGAGTCAAAAATTAACAACAACAGCAGCCACTTAAAATAAAACAGGGGCAATAATGGATGTGTGCTCTTTTTTAGATGTCGTCATTTTACACTACTCCACTTAATGCTATTTCATAACGTTTTATAGAGGCTACTGACCAACATCGATTAATTTGACAATTTATTACCACAGTTATTAGTAATAGTAGATTCATCTTCACAAAATGGTGCAAAAAGAAACCAAGGTCTTATTTTCTTTATTATTAGTTTTACCCCCAAATAGTCCACATTAAAGAGGATTAAGCAGCATTTGTTTAAAGATTACAGCTGCTTGCTTTGGGATGCAAAACTAAGTAGGACAACTAACCGATTCTGACAAAAAAACATCCACCATTTAACTCAACTGTTACACTTGCTTGCTGAGAGAGTGCTAGTTGGTAAATAATATTAACTAACTAACATTAATCATTCACTACAGTAAAGTAAAAATGAGATCAATAGCCAACCTAATTGGGCAAACAGCTGTTTGCTAAACGTAAAGAAATGGTGCAATGAAAGGATAAAAAGTCAACATGTTAGCTATAATACTTATAATACTTAAAGAAACAACTAAATGTTGAAATAACTCAAATTAGTAAACTACAAATAGCAAAACAGCTAATTATATATGACCAAAACCTAAGAGTTACAAATAAATGTTGCAACAGCTTAACTTAGATGAGTAAAAAGCCATAAACAGTTAACACAGGTAGCTCAGCTAAGGGTCAATGGTCAAAATAATTTGTTAAAAGTAATAGGCAAACAACAAAAATGCTGAATTTAAGAGACAATTACCTGAAATACGAAGCTAAATTCAATGTTGAGAAATTGCTAAACTGGTCTATAGACAGCTGAAATATTAGGCTACCTATAACACCCATTATAAAGGTTATATGTCTATGAGCTGATGCGTCTGTCAGAATTGTACAAATTTTAAGTTTGACCGTTTCTTCTCAGCTTACTTCTTTCGGTTCCTGACCACCTCAAACACCACGTCTCAGCCAAGTTTGTGTGTTATAAGCAAAGCTTCCTGCCTACCTGTCATCATTCGGGAAGCTCTGGTCCCCAAGAAGAAGGTCTCTGAAGCGGAAACGGGGCGGCAGAGGAGGCACCTCGCTCTCTAGCTGCTCCATCTTGAGAGTAGAGATGTCTAAGATAACCCCAGTACTGCAGCTGCTGTTTTTGGTCTGGAGTGGGGCTGGGGATGAGCTGGGGGGAGGGACAGGAGAAAAGTAAAGAAACAGAAGGCACAGGAAGTTGTGCAAAAGTGAAGGAAGCCACTTGAGCCAATGTTGAAAGGAAACAAGAAGCACAAGGAGAAGGAAAGGAGGCAAGGAAGGTAAACATGGGATGGAAAAGTGCAGTTGACGGGGCCCGGGTATGGGGTTACAGAAAATCAGACCAAAAAGGATAATGCCCCTAATGAATACTTTATATTGTACTGTAAAGTTTATATTTTTGTATTTTTAGTAAAGATAATCCCAAACAATAACCTTTGCAGCTAAAATATTTGTGTAATGAAGAACCAGCCAACATATGTTCACCTAAAGCACCATGCATTGTGGCTTCTTCACTATCCTGGGACAGATGCAGGGACAGGCTAAAATGCTGCTGCTGTGTGATGATTCAGGCTTAAAAGCAGAAATTAGCATGCATTCAAGGTTATGTCGCTCCTGTGCTGCTTACAGACCATAGAAGACAGACCTGAGTACTTTCCACAGCTTTATTAATAGGATTTAACTTTGTTAACAGAAGCGTAACGTTTGTTTCTTTAGATTAACAGAGTATACACATGCTTGCATGAAATGGAAAAAAATACCTTTTCTTTTTAGACAAGGATCGAAATGCCTTCTTTCAATTCAGGGCATGTTCATGTAGTGGTTTGTTTTTTACATTGTTGTACTCTTACTTCACTTTTCCAAAATATCCAAGAGTATTTTGTCCACCACCGGGTTCAACATATGGCTCAGCTTCAAGCACACATCATTCATATTATGAATGATGATTATGAATCATTATAGATTCATAACTTGGATTAAAGTTTATCTCAACCAGTGGGAAAGAAAGTAAAAAATCTTCGACTGCTGTGTTTTTCTGAATGGCCGCAGATACTGAGACACATCTCTCTAATGTGCAGCCCGAAAGCCTGAGTAACATGCAAAGGTTAAATACAGCATAGTGGGATTTTACCTTTACTGCTCGAGAAGATGATGTGGGAAGATGAACTGATTCTGTCGCTTGAAAAAATGAGATGAATTAGAAACTCCAGAGTGAAGTGAGCGGCGTTATTTATGCCTTAATATTTTTAACTGTGTGGCTGTCGCAGCATGGATGGATGCTTTTGTGAGATTACACTCTTGCTTTTAATATTTGTTAAATGATCAGCGCCGGTCAACACATCACCTCCATAATTAAAATATTGTATCCTTTGATAAAATATGACTCATTGCAGGGTGGTTATTAATGCAAGTGAACGTGGTTTGGTGTGAAGACAAATAACGTTTTCAGGCTCTTAGAATTGCACAAAACAGAATCTCCATCACTGTGTCTGTCAGCTTTGATCCTCCATTAACCTTGTCAAACTTAATGCATGATTGATGAAGGGGATGTTCTGATTTTGATACTGTGATTTTGTTTAACTCATCCATCTAAGCAAATACAACCCAGGAGTAAAGTTCACCATTCAGCTCTCATAAGATAAGTGAAGACATGAAAAATGTGTTATTACATTCAAATAGTTCAGCACGTATGGATGCGTGTGATATATATATTGTATGGTTTCAGTATCCATTTTTTAAGAGAAGATGGTTTTTGTTTTGGCCAAAAATCATCCCAAATGTTCTTAAGAAAGCATGTGCGTGCACGGGTCAAACCAGGCATCACCAGCCCTGGTAATGGATTCATATGAGCAGCAGATAATCTGTCATCTATAGGCCAACACTGAAAACTGAGACAGCACACCGGTGAACAGCTGGACACAAAACAGGTGATGACGGATGAGCAGATTGTGTATGGATGAGAAAAACAATGCAACACGTCACATCAGTCACATTATTCAACAGGTATTTGGCAATTTTCCTGATATTTTTTTTAGAATCAAATCCCAAACTAACCCGCAAGTGAATGTACTTTAA